GCTCGACCGCGCGCGACCGCGCGCGACCCGCCCCCCCCCGCAGGAGGCGATTTTGGGCAACGCGCTCTTCCTCGGGCGCGGCCGCGGATTCAACGACGCGCACTGCGGGTGCTGGCGCTACATCAAGCGCGACGGCGCCGGGCTCCTGATTTTCCGCTGCACCGTCATCGCGCGCGGCCTCGGCCACTTGAGCCAGCGCCAGGCGCGCACCCCGCGTCCCTTCAGCGTGTTCTTTTTTGCAACTTCGAAGCTGAAGAAATCAACCAAGCAATCCATCTTGAAACTTGAATCGGCTGCCCCTCGCAGTTGCTCGAGCGTGCCGACATCGTGGGCAGCTGGCCGTCGGACTTGCTCCACGATGTCGCGGACGCCTGCGGCGCCCACTACTGGCTCGGCAGCGACCTGTCGCTGCGTTACGACGACATCCTCGACGCGCCGCTTTGCGAGATCCACGCGGACCTCTCCCGGCGCGGCCTGCTGCGTCTTTTGAGGTTGTTCTTTTTGTCACGCGTCGACCTGTAGGCTCGGCAACACGAAGCAGACCGAGAAGTTCGCGGCCCTCGACCGCGCGCTCGGCCACCTCGCGCTCTCGGCGATGGTGCGGAAGCTCTACTTCCCCGGCGGCTTCTACGCGTCGGCGTACGCGTACGCGCTCGTCGAGTGCGGCGACGACGCGGACAAGGTCCGCGCGCTGCAGAAGGTCTTCTGGAAGCTCGTGCGCTACAAGAGCAACGTCACGCTCGTCGAGGCCAACAAGCTCGTCGCGGACTTCGGCCCGCCCTACCAGCCGTCGTCGGCCCGCGGCGTGGGCAACCGGTGGCACGCGGCGCTGAAGGACCAGCTCGTGCCGCTCGACCTCGACCTCAAGATCACGGGGTCGGCGGGCGGCTACCAGGTCAACGCCTACGAGAACGCGCTCGTCGAGATGCTGAACCGCATCCCCGGCGGGCCCGCGGCGCCCGGCGCGGCCGCGGCCGTCGCGTTGCTCGACGACGCCTTCGCGGCGACGACGTTCTTCACGCCGCCGGCCGGGTCCCTCGGCGACATCTACGCGGCGGCGGCGCGGCGCGTCGACGACCACGCGCGCGCGCGGCGCCGCGCGGCGGTGCTCGCGGTGCGCGAGGCGCGCGAGGCGGGGCGCCCCTTGCCGCGCGTCGTCGGCTTCGTCCACGCCTACGGCGATCCGCACGACCGCGCGCTGCTGCAGCGCCAGTGCGACGACGCGTTCGGCGCGGGCATGTTCCGCGTCGACGTCGGCGCGCAGGGCGTCCACTGCGCTTTCTGCAACTACTTGATCCCGTCGGCTCCTCTGCGAAACGACCTGCCCAACAGCCGAGTGGTGGGCGATCG